GGAATGCGTGATTGGCGCCCCCGCCTCCATAGCCCTCAATGGTGTGACGTCATCATAGGCAACTGCTGAGGTTGCCTACATACACGGACCACCCCAGGAGTTGCCTATCTCTGAGAGAAGGCAGGGCTTAGCTCCTCCCACTATGTGAGGAGCCACTTTCCCTTCAGGTGTCACCATGTAACCGCTGAAATTTTCAGCAATTACACGATTTCTTAAATGCGTTTTAACATCTGAGTCCGCAGATCCACGGGGCTCTATTCCCAAGAGCCACAATGACCAACAGAGAGGAATGTGGGCCTGTCGTGCTTGGAAGCCAGGACCCTGTGCCAGCAGCTCCTCCTGGCAATGTGGCCACCCCAGACAGAAGACATTGCATCTGGCACAGGAGCTGGTGGCAGTGCAGCTTTGTTGCCTGGAGGAGCTGCCAGTGCAGGGCACTGGCTCCTGTGTGTGACAGGACCACACTCCTTTCCATGTAGCGTTGCCAGATGACCCAACACAGGCTAAAAATTTTTGTCAAGCAAAAAAAGAAGCACGGGATAATAAGTACTGCCTCTCCCAGCCCCCACTAGGCTTCTGATGCGCCAAGAGCGGCGATTGCGGCCCCACCTCCCAACCTGGGAGTCCCAACTGGCAGGCGGGGCCACGATCGGCACTGAGAGCCTGGGCTTGTTTAGTTTGGAAAAAAGAAGATTAAGGGGGGACATGATAGCGGTTTTCAAATATCTAAAAGGGTGTCACAAGGAGGAAGGAGAAAATTTGTTCCTCTTGGTTTCTGAGGACAGGACAAGGAGTAATGGGCTTAAAGTGCAGCAAGGGAGGTTTAGATTGGACATTAGGAAAAAAATCCTAACTGTCAGGGTGGTCAAATATTGGAATAAATTGCCAAGGGAGGTGGTGGAATCTCCCTCTCTGGAGATATTTAAGAACAGGTTAGATAGACATCTGTCAGGGATAGTGTAGAAGCCTGCCCCATATTCTCCCCATTGGAGAACTAGGGTTGCCAGATGGTTTCCCCAAAAATACTGGACACACGTGCTAAAAAGTGTGTTGAGAAAAAAAACCCACCACAACTATGCTTAACACTGAATGGGAACTTTATTATAAACAATCAACAGTCTACATCAGATATTTTGACTACATGAACCTCTCAGCATTGATCCCAGCCCCGAAGTCCCAGCCACTCTCCCTACCCCCGCCAGATTCTGGTCAAAAAGCTATCTTCCATGGGAAGCAAAAAGTTTTGTGGGAATGCTTTGGACTAGTGGCTGAGAGCCTTCCTAGCACAAAGAGCTTCTCCAGGGAAAGTGGGAGGAGCCCTCTTGCTTGGGACTTTCAAAATCAGACTGGCCAAAGCATTAGGGGGAAGTAGGGGCGCTGACCCCAAGGGGCAAGGTGCAGTGACTCTTGGGAGTAGAGTCCTGCAACTAAGTGGATTCTGATGTCTAGCTGTAGATAATCACATCCGTGGGTAGACATTTCTATCTGCACAGGGTTCTACTTACAGAGTTGCAAGTTACAGGTTGCTCACAGATTTAGGACAGCGAAGAGTGGTACATTTTCCAATAAGTGGGCCCCAGGAAACTGCAGGCCTCCTCTATTGTTTAAGTTTTCATGGTGGGTTGGATTAAGCAAGATGGGCTGGGAAGCAGTTTATTGATTTTGTGTATTTTTAAATATCTGAAAAAGTGCTTAGAGTCTTGAGATGGTATGAAATACAAAAAAGACGAAAAATACCATTTGAACTGTGATAAGGCCCAAAATGTAGTCAGTATAGTAGGATTTCCAAACACGGAGGAGCGTAATCCCTGCTGAAAAGAATATCCTTGCTGCTTTTTACTCTTCACCATGTAACAAGCAGTGTAAGGGTACAGGTGGCATTCAGATACCATAATAAGATTCAACCATTTCTAAACAAATCTCCCTGATAACTAATTAAGTGATGCCATAATAAATAGGATGGCGCCCCTGATTTTGCTTCTCCTCATGATCTCTGATCTTGCACTTGGCTCCGAGAGAGCAAGTGCCCTCACATGTAGCTCCCCTGAGGTCATTCAGAATTGCAATATCAGGGTCTAACTCTTGTATATATATACACCATTCTCTTCCATCTTCTTACTGCATAAAGCAAAGTACCCCAACTTAGATTCCTTCCCATGAATCTGATCACATACTATTTACATCATGCCGCATCATCTCTGAATTTGGTGCAGTTTGCCAGAATTGTGCTTGTTTGTGCTACAAAGCATCTGCTAGAAAAAGCTGTAGCTAAATCAATTTCAGACAATTGTCCAATACAAACACAGAAAGGCAAATTCATTATTGGGGTATCTATTATCTTCAATATCCATATGAAGGGCATTTCTACACTAGGAAATAATTCCAAAATAACTAAAATTGACATCATAACTCCCAATTTAACAAAATCGAAATAGCGTGTCCCCACTACATGGGAGCATCGAAATTAGTCAGAATTATTTCGAAATAGCACATCCACATTAATTGGAACCTGTCTCAGACTTAGAGCTCTGAGAAGCTCTTTTGGGCGGGCACCAGGAAGGCAGAGACTTCCTGTCGCTACTTGGTCAGGCGAGCTGTGACGCCTGCTTTCAGGGGTTTCTCTCTACAGCCGCGTCTCACATGCCACTCCCCCACTGCCTCCTCCCTCACAGTGTGCTCTGGTTGTTATTTACTCATGATCCCTTCATCATGGAGCCAGAGCTGCTGCAAAGCAGTGCCAGGCTCCCAGGCCTTATGCTGTGCCTCATGGCGCAATTGGTCCAGACCACCCACATACAGCTCCAGGCACCTAGCAGGCGTATTGGCAGAAAGCCAGGAAAGCCAATGGGAAAGAAGGTTCTAATTTGAATTGTATATAGATAGATACCTAGCTGCTTCTTTCTTTGGGGGGAGTTCTAAGTTAAGGGCTGGAGGGATCAATGTGCAATAATTGAACTACCATGCCTGCAAGGAATTTGGAGCATGGAAGTGGACTGGACGATGAAGGGATCATGAGTAAATAAGGGGAAAATGTATATTTAGTTGTGATCAGGATATGTTTCTTTGTTTTGTTTGTTTGGCTTAAATGTCTCTATGTGAATTCCATGTACTTTTCCTCCCCCACTCACCATATTTAAGCTACAGACCAAAGAGATTGTTTCTTTGTGTTTTGATCTGTTCTTTTCTCAGTTACTCTGTAACACCTAGCAACCAAGTATGCTTTATCAAGTATATCTTTTTGTTTTTGTTAATAAAATCACCTTTCTTAAGGGGATGATTTGATTCTTGTGTCCTGGAAGGTAATAGAATCATAGAATACTAGGACTGGAAGGAACCTCGAGAGGTCATCGAGTCCAGTCCCCTGCCCTCATGGCAGGACCAAATACTGTCTAGACCATCCCTGAGAGACATTTTTCTAACCTACTCTTGAATATCTCCAGAGATGGGGATTCCACAACTTCCCTGGGCAATTTATTCCAGTGTTTAACCACCCTGACAGTTAGGAACTTTTTCCTAATGTCCAACCTAAACCTCCCTTGCTGCAGTTTAAGCCCACTGCTTCTTGTTCTATCCCCAGAGGCCAAGATGAACAAGTTTTCTCCCTCCTCTTTATGACACCCTTTTAGATATCTGAAAACTGCTATCATGTCCCCCCTCAATCTTCTCTTTTCTAAACTAAACAAACCCAGTTCCTTCAGCCTTCCCTCATAGGTCATGTTCTCTAGACCTTTAGTCATTCTCGTTGCTCTTCTCTGGACCCTCTCCAATTTTTCCACATCTTTCTTGAAATGTGGTGCCCAGAACTGAACACAATACTTCAATTGAGGCCTAACCAGCGCAGAGTAGAGTGGAAGAATGACTTCTCATGTCTTGCTCACAACACACCTGTTAATACATCCCAGAATCATGTTTGCTTTCTTTGCAACAGCATCACACTGCTGACTCATATTTAACTTGTGGTCCACTATAACCCCTAGATCCATTTCTGCCGTACTCCTTCCCAGACCTTCACTTCCCATTCTGTATGTGTGAAACTGATTGTTCCTTCCTAAGTGGAGCACTTTGCATTTGTCTTTATTAAACTTCATCCTATTTACCTCAGACCATTTTTCCAATTTGTCTAGGTCATTTTGAATTATGACCCTATCCTCCAGATTAGTCACAGCCCCTCCCAGCTTGGTATCATCTGCAAACTTAATAAGCGTAATTTCTGTACCAATATCTAAATCATTGATGAAGATCATCCTATTTATCTCAGACCATTTCTCCAATTTGTCCAGGTCATTTTGAATTATGAATAGAGGATCTGTGTGTATGTTTGCCTAGGCTGAGAGATCAGCCATCAAAGACTCAGTGGTTTTTTGGTGGGTTTTTTTTTTCAAGCTCTCTTCTGGCAAAAGAGCTTGGGGTACCCCTGGGAAAGAAATTCAAGTATTTCTTCTTGTTTTTTTCAGGGTTTAAATCACTTAATGGTGGCAGCCTATTTTCCATGCATCTCTGACTCTGGGGAGGGTGGGTTTTGTTTTTGGTTTTTTTTTTTGTAAGCAGAGCTTGTAGAGGCAAGGTACTTAAGGTATTTTGTGGGCCCCCACCTTCTGCACTCAAACTAACCCCACTTACTAACTAGCCCCAAAAGAACCATTATTATAATCTTTGATACCATCTAAGAGACACTCACAGAGATTTTTCCTTCTCAAAACTCTCTCTAGATAACATATGAGGAAACAAGGGATATTGTTAACATACAAGGGTTATTTAATACTTTATATTTCAAAGGCTATCACTGTTATCCTTCTTTTCTGCATCTTTAATAAAAGCTTAGAAGGATTTCTAAGGATGTATTTGCTATTAATGTGAAACCGGCTGGCATCTCTGTCAAACCCTGGGCCTTGTTGGACTGCTAGTGACTGAGTTATTGAATACCATTGGCCCATATAGTCTATTTAAGTGAATATAACAGAGGCATATTCAATTGCAATCAGATTAGAAAAGTGACATACCACAAAAATGGGATCATTGGCTGCAGCATGAGAGGCAGGGCC